CTTTCCCTGCCTACATATCAGTCCTTTTTCCCCATTTTTTTTCCCGTTCTGTATTTCTATTGTTTTAAAATAAACTGTGGATGAATACACTGCCTTTTGTGATATTGCTATGAATGTGGGACCAGAGCAGAAGCCAAAACCAAAACCATACAATGGTTTAAGTTTGTCAGGTCCTGTGTCTGGAAATACCATATAATACATTCTTGTTCTGCTACACAGGAGAGCACAAGTGAAAACTAGCATTGTAGGCAACATCACATTCTCTGTCACTGGTAATTCTGTATTTTATCCTGATGTCTGTTAATCGCATTTCACTTTAGATGAAGTAGGTGATTGCTCATAACAGCAATAACATGCATGGTTCCAGATCATTTCACCTAACTTTTTCTCTCTTCATTAAAATAGATAGTTAAAGTCAACATCCAAAAGACAAAGGGAGTTCCCTGTCTAACAGTAAAGGAAATAAGAACAAAAGAATAATGTTACTCAACTATTAATTCTTGACATTTCAAATACTTCTATTTGCATTACTGTATGTTTAATCAGTAGACTTTCAAGAATGTTGTGATAGCAAGTCAGAAACATCTTGATAGCAAAATCTGGACATGGTTAACTAAGGGTTTAAATACTGTTTTATCCTTTGTGGCATTAGGGGCATGCACAACAACAGTCTAGCAGAACCTGACAGTAACAGCTTGTTTCAGTCAGAGGAAATTGATTTCCTGCATGCTTTGAATTTGAAGTTTTTCCAGTACGGTTGTATCCATAACAAAATTTGGCATTACAGTGTGCTATAATTCCTTTATATTTCTAAAGCATTCTGAGTGTAGACACAGGTTTAACATCTGCTCATTTTTAGTTTATGGGATTTATTAAAACCTTCCAAATGTCCTTGACAGGCAGTTAATTATTCAAAAAAATGCAAATATTTGCTGTTCTGTTTTTATTTCTAGGTTAACAGAATCAAAACTCCGAAGCAGATAGATGAGCTTATAGAAATAGAGAGCGATACAGGAACTTGGTACAGGAGGTGTTTTGTTAGAATTCGCACAGAGCTATATGCCGTAAGTAACAGCACCTCTGTTTGTTCTGTAATTACCTTTCCTTTTTTTAATTAGCCTTCAGATATGGGGTGGATTATTGAGCTCATGATGGTGATAGCTGCAATGCTGCATTTTCCATGCACTGGAAGATTCAGGAACCAGTGTAAGATTCTTATTTCCTGACCTAGAAAAGGTGCTAGTGAATCACAGAGGTTAGTCACAGTTTGTGAGAAGGAAAATGCTCCACTGGTCTTCACACAAGTGATGGCTGATAGGTACATAGCCATATTTCCAACCACCACAGTATAATATGTACTGGAAATGCGTATCAATATATACCTATAGAAAGAGGTGACACATGATGAGATGGAAAATTTTCAGCATGAACTTGAGGCAGCAACATTACTTAAAAATGGTAAAGTCATAGAATCATAGAATCATAGAATAGTTAGGGTTGGAAAGGACCTTAAGATCATCTAGTTCCAATCCCCCTGCCATGAGCAGGGACACCTCACACTAAACTATGTCGCCCATGTCATGAATAAATTGTGTAAATGGATGTCAATAAAACCTTTATAAGGCTTTGTATCTGCATGTATTTTTAGGCATGTCAAACGTTTTACCAGAAAACTATGTTAGAACTATTTCAGAGAGTTTAATGCAAGCTTACTGGGACTGTGCTCCATATTCTTTTTTACTTCCTTGTAAAACCAGAAATACACAGTACATTTGAACCTTGTAATGAAAACTGCAAAGAGTCTAATTAAAAAAAAAAAAAAAAGTTAGAAATATCTTTTCAAAGCTGTTAAAATCTGGCATCTTGAAAGTCTCCAGAACGATGATGAAGTGTTGCAAACCAAAGTTTGTCACAAAACTGCTTTGCATGGAAAAATGGCATTTTCACTAGTAAAAAATACCAAGCAAAAAAACCCCAACCAAACAAACCTAGAAGGTGTCTACTTTTATAGTTATTTGTACAAAAATTGAGTAGTCAAAGATTGAAATGTTATGATTTTTCCTTATTACCAAACCAGCTTTAAAGGAGTTACAGCTTGGCTGTCTCATATCCTTGTTATGTCACTGGACGAGCCCCGGGGCTAGAGTTCCTTGTTGCACAATGTGTGCTGAAACCTCCTAAGACAGACTGCTACTTCTCTTCAAAAGGAAAAAATCATCTTGAGATGAGAGAGAGAGGGGAGACAACACCATTCTTGGTTGGCTCTGCTGTAGCGTCTCTGTCCTGGGGGTAGTCTCATCTTTTCCTCATAGAGTTAAAGTACCAATTTCTAGCTGTGGTAGGTTATGACAGATCAAACTCTGTGTCACTGTTGAATTATGGAATATAGTTTATCTAAACTTGAAGCAGTGTAATACTGGGAAGTGAGAAGAAAACATTTTTTACAAGATCTCTGTTTATTTGACATAGTGAAATGAAGTTGTCTAGATATTGGAAAGTTTGAGGTGATCAGAGCAGAGGGTGAATTAATAAACACTGTGCACACTGGTGTGTAAATAATTTTATATAGGCCAGCAATGTGTGCTTGCATCCCAGAAAGCCAATCACATCCTAAGCTGCATAAAAAGAAGCATGGCCACCAGGTCTGCCCCTCTGCTCTGGTCTCAAGAGACCCCACCTGCAGCAGTGCTCTGCCCCTCTACCCTGGTCTCATGAGACCCCACCTGCAGTACTGCATCCAGCTTCGGGGACCCCAACATAAAAAGGGTGTGGACCTGTTTGAGCAAGACCGGAGGACGCCGCACAGATGATCAGAGGGCTGGGGTATGTCTCCTATGAGAAAAGCTTGAAAGAGTTGGGATTGTTCAGCCTGGAGAAGAGAAGGCTCCAGGAACACCTTATAGCAGCCTTTCGGTACCTGAAGGGGGCTTATAAGAAAGATTGAGGGAGACTTTTTACCAAGGCCTGTACTGGCAGGAGAAGGGTTAAGGGTGTTAGACTATAATAGGATAGATTTAGACTGGACATTAGGAATAAATGTTTTATGATGAGGGTGATGAGGCACTGGAACAGGCTGCCTGAAGAAGTTTTGGCTGCCCCATCCCTGGCAGTGTTCAGGGCCAGTTTGGATGGGTCTTTGAGCAACCTGGTCTAGTGGAAGGTGTCCCTGTCTGTGGCAGGGGGCTTGAAACTAGACGACCTTTAAAGGTCCCTTCCAACCCAAACCATTCTATGATTCTATGAAAAGAAGTAAAAAGTCATAGAACATGCACAGCCTGGCTATATGTGGAGATTAACATACTTGTGTGACCAATGAGTTGTGATTAACGTACTTGTGCAACCAACGTCGAAGAGTTTGTCTACTCTCTTAGAGACCCTGAAGAAGCAAGCAGATCAGAATCAAAAACCTTCTATCATTTAGCAAAATTGTTCAAAATACAATTTATAATAAATATATTTCCTAATGATTTACAGATTTGGTTGACATTTATGAGATGCTTCAACTACCCAGTGAAGGATAATACAATCAAACTTACAGCTGTATGGTTCACCCTGTCTTTTGGGTAAGAGTGGTTGAGATCTTAAAGCATTTTTGATAGACTTGATGGACAGAAAAATCATATGCATGCAGATTTCTATCAATCACTATGATTATCTTTTTTATCCAAAAGGGTTTTATCCAGTATCTTTCCACAAAATGTTACATTTATCCGTTAGCTTGTTCTTAGTTGCAAGCTTACCTCATCAAAAATACCTGCTTCAGAAAAGAGCATCTTCTGGTGTCAGCATCTTTCAGTATTTTTATTTTATGGAGCATTTTATTACGACGGAATGTCATGGTTCAAACCCAGATGATAACTCAGCACCGTGCAGCTACTCATTCACCCCCCATCTTTCCCTCTCCCCAGGTGGGATGGGGAGGAGAATTGAAAGAATGTAAAACCCATGGGTTGAGATAAGAACAGTTTAATAACCAAAATAAAGTAAAATATAGTGATGATAGAAATAATACCAACAATAACAATAATAATAATAATGGGAAACAACAAAAAAGAAATAAAAGATCAGAAAACACAAGTGATGCACAATATAATTGTTTACCACCTGCTGACCGATATCCAGCCCGACCTGAGCAGTAATTGGTCCCTTCTGGGTGACTCCCCCCCAGTTTATATACTGGTCATGATGTGCTGTGGTATGGAATACCCCTTTGGCCAGTTTGGGTCAGGTGTCCTATCTCTGCTTCCTCCCAGCTTCTTGTGCCCCTCCTCACTGGCAGGGCATGAGACTGAGGAAGTCCTTGGTCGGAGTAAGTGCTACTTAGCTACAACTAATACATTCGTGTGTTGTCAGCATTGTTCTCAGACTAAAGCCAAAACACAGCACTGCACCAGCTACTAGGAAGAATAAGTAACTGTTACAGCTGAAACCAGAATGTGGAGCAACTGCTCCATCACATAAGAGCTGTTCGTCTTCAGCTTACTTAGATTTCCCAACAAGTAAGACTAGCAACTGAGCTTCTTCTGTTTTTTGCAGCTACTATGGCTTATCTGTCTGGTTTCCTGATGTCATTAAACATCTGCAGTCAGATGAGTATGCATCCCGAGTGAAACATTTCCGCAATGAGGAGGTTTCACATTTCGTCTTCAACTTCACACTGGAAAATCAGATTCACAGCAATGGAGAATACATCAATGACAGGTTTAGAGATTTCCTAATATCCTGACTTTGCTAGAATAAACAAATGATGTTTTAAAGCATGTCCTAATAATCTCATATTTTTCTCCATCAGCTAATGATAGTTGCTTTTGTTGCTTTTTATCAGAATTTATTTTCCATTTTGGTTTCTTATGCCTTGTGGAGCATGGGGAGAAACAAACCTGTACATGCCCTGGTGGTTCCTGTGTGAGGATCTCCCAGGCAAACACAGCTTCCTTGTCATCCTGAAAAACAGACCAAGAAGCCTAAATTATCAATACGTTCTTTCACAGTGGGATTCAAAGGTTTTCAGACCCAACACATGCAGCATATTGTAGGCGGCTGGGAAAGGACTTACTTTCATCTCTGTTGCTAGTTCTTTTCTTGTATCAATAAAAGACATTTCTGTGAAAACACTGAACATTGAGAGGTTAGCATCTTATCACTGAAAAAGAAAAGCTATATGTTACTATAAATCAATAGAAAGTACAAACAGCTCTGAATGGGAAACAACATGTTGGCAATGCATTTTGTGTTTTGTTTTTAGCTGAATCTGAACATATTAAGGCTCTGTCTGGACTTTACAGATAACTAGAGAACTTAGGGGAAAATTAAACACAGCTGGTTTAAGTATCTGTTTTCTCTTAAGATATGACCATGTGACTGGTCTGCTGGAAGTTGTGGTGCTAAGTAATTATTATTTCCATAGGAAAATCTCTATCTATGTGAGTGAAATTACTGGGTTTTGTAATACAGGGATTTAAAAATTATTTTTATAAGAAATTGAGTTTTGACACAGTTAAAGATTTATGCACTTCAGACAGGAAAATGCAGTTATCTCATTTTTAAACTAGTCATGACTTTCCAGTTTCACTCCTTTCTAGAAGGTCGATGTTCTCCTAAAAGCAAATAACTATCTGCTGTCAGTAGCTGGCAGCACTCAGTCAACTGAGGTCTTATCAATGTAAACTGAAAATTCTTGTAAAACACTAGATCTAACATTTATCTACTCCAAAACACTCACTCTTTCAAATGTGCAAATTTAAGAAGCCTCTGACAGTTATGAGATGACCAAAATATTTTCCACAGAAGTATGAACTCATTTGATATTCTTCCTCCACAAATATTTAAATACTCCACTCTCCCTCACTCTGTGTTTTCTTCATGTTCTTTCTGAAATGGAAGATCCATTAGTACTTGACTTTTTACTTCATTACATCTCTGTTGGGTTTTAATTCAAATAATCCCAACACCAATTTTAATATAGTCGTGTTTCCTGTCCAAAGCTAGAAAGTGCATCAGAAGAATGCAGGACATGCAGTCTGTCATTTCTGTTCCAGCTGACTAATTTAATTGCTAAATTTTCTTTGTTCTCCTCTGGAATTAGGCTATATTTTAAAATGGGAAGTGCTGTATGAAAAATGATAATGAGTTGACACTAAACATCAGCCTGATTTTAATCAGTCTGTCACAAATGAGAAATGATATAGTAAATGAAACTAATGGACTGAAAACACCATTCTTCTGAGCAATAGACAAAGAGAATTCATTAGCTGTAAGTCTTTCCCTGTGACAAACACAATCAGCTTTTCTCTCCTTTCTCATAAAGATTCCAACAACCTTATTGGTGAGAGAGTTTAATTCCTACTATTTTGTAGGTAACATATTTTGTGTGTCCTATTCCTAATATTAGTCTTATAATAAGAAAATTGTTTTGCTAGTCACACCATGTTTAATTACAGCAGAGCCAGGTCTGTGTTTTGAAGGCTTTGCCATTTTAACAGTTCTTAGAGTCATATAACAATGAAAGCCCTGCTTTCACTCTTGCCAGTTTGAGTGAAATCTGCCAGCAAAACTACAAGCTTGTTTCACAGCTTCGTGTGAAATAGAAGACATCACAAAAATAATGATGTATTTCTACATCTTTTTTTTTCTTAGCATATTTTCTTTTCTTAGCATAATAATGTTATCTTACAGAATTATACTAAAAAAGGCTTACAGCATTTTTTTATTCTAGTAACACTGAGGTAGAAAGTTACTGCTAGTAATACACTTCATAATTGACTTTCTCTGTGAATGACTTGAATGACAGTCATGATCAAAGACCTAAAAGTTAAATGAGTCAGTAGGAAGAGGGATGTTCAGAAATAAGAAAAAGTTACTAAAACTTTGCTTATACCTGTTTTATGTACATAGTAGTTGCAGTTGCATCCACAGGCACAGGAGGAACAAACACAAACTTCCAATTAGATATGTAGCTGTGTAACTGGCAATGTAATTGTTCTGTTCCTGTTTTGCCTTTGAGGCTGACACAATGCCCACTGTGTTTGTCTGAAGAAATACAAGTTCTTCAAAAAATTCTTTTCTTCCAGCTTCGTGGCACTAGCAGGTGATTGTTTTTTCCAAGAGACTGAGTTTCTGGAGCATAATCTCCCAATTTCTGACTGTAATGTCAAGTTATAAGTGATAGTTAATTTACAAGGCTATTCCATTAATGTCATGACATTGTTTTTGTCTGATGATTAATAACAACTGTAAGAGAAATATTACCAAAGGAATTGTTGTGGCCAGTAGCTGTGTGGAGCTATTTGTCTTATTAATGTTTTTTCTGAACAATAGTATTCTAGAATCAGGTAATCATTAATTACATCCCCAGAATGCCTTTAAGGAGTCATTGTTACTGGGGTTAATATTTTTTAGACCTGTACAGCCGCTTCAGCTTGACCTGTTGCTCTTTCTAACCTATGAAGGTAGACTGACAGAAATTATTTCTACTGGGCAGGTTTATTATGATGAAGTTTAAATCAGTAACCTTTGAAGATTCACTTTTTAAGAACTGTGTGTTTGAAGATATTACTTCACTGAACACATACTTCAGGAACTGTACTTTTGTGAATACCACCTTCTACAACACAGGTATTATGAGAAAAAACGCTGAACATCCATTCAGCTGCATGTTCTCATCTTATGTTTGTAATTTCTGTATTTCTAATAAGGCATACAAAAAGCCCTCTTTAGGGAATAGAAAGCTATAAAAAAGCAACAGGCCTCTTGTAATGTTATAACAGAAAAGTGAAAGGATCAGATCACACCTGCACTAAAGATACCTCAGACCTAATATTGGCTCAGATAATAAACTTCTCTTTGATTTTATTATCTCTAAAGAGATTCACTCTGGAGAGGAGAAAATATATTCACTGCTTTACTGGTAGCTTTAACTCATGGGAGGTTTTTTACTTAGTCTAAAGAGGACTGGTGAAATACATTGTTCACTGTGCTTGCTGTGGCATGGGAACCAGAGTTCAGAATGCAAGCTACCTAATCTATAATCATTCCCACTCTCCTAAGTATTGTAACAAAAACGGGAATGGATATTTTCATATGTTAAACAGAGGACTCTTTTTTCTTTCACTTTATTAAAACATATCTGAAAGTAGAACATGGCCAGCTAAACTTACTGAAAAGATGGGGCACTTCCTACCACTTTCAAGCAACTCCAGCAGTCATACTAGTATTTGACTTAGGTTTCAGAGCAAGCAGCACACACCTTGCTTTGCATGAAAGAGAGGTATTCATGATTCAGGGTTATAAGGCTGATACAAAGAATGGAAAGTAAGTGGAAGTTTAGGGAGAGATCTCTGAAATACTGGTGGGAGAATGGCCTGAACAGCTGCATGTAGTAACTCATCTGTGGTTGCACTGAAGACTATGAGGCCTTCTCAGAAATGAAAATTAGATTAATCTGAATTCTGTAGCAGTGTCTCACTTTAAAGGAAGTCAAACCAAACTGACCACAATTGAAAGTCTCATCTGAAAGGCTGTCTGATGTGGAAAGAGAGGATCTGATACTGAGCAAAACAGTGTTAGAAACTTGCAGATACCTGGTACTTTTTATGCAAGACCAGCTGGTGCTGAAAGACCTTAACCAAATATAGTCCAAGCAGAGATGAAATACTGTAATATATCCTGCCTAACTCAAGGCTTTGGCTCTTTTCTTTTTTTTTTCATGAGCTTTGCATATGTTTTTATTAAGATAAAAAGGTATCAAAATTAACAGCAATAACTAGTCCCATTTTATGAAGCAATGAAAGCTCAGAATTGTCATTAAAGTTGTGTAAACTTGAAATGTTTCTAATCAAAAGCTGCACATGGAGTCAGCTGTTACCTGAAATGTCTCTTTTTCTTCTTTCCACAGATCTCGAGCAGTATAAATTTGTTGACAGCGAATTGATTAATTGCACATTTTTTCACATCAGGACAGGATGCCAGATTTCTTTTGATGATGACTACAGTGCCTACTGGATTTACTTTGTCAATTTCCTGGGAACTTTGGCAGTGTTACCAGGGAATATTGTGTCTGCTCTCCTGATGGATAGAATTGGACGGTTAACGATGCTAGGTAGAGGCTTCGATTTAAACCAGGGAACAACACCAAAATTTAAAGCTCTCATGATAAAGTCACATGTTCTCTTTTTAAAGAATTTGGTTTAGAGAGATGCAAAACATTCCTTCTACAGATGCTTTGTTTCTGTGACATCATAAGGGCCATTTTAAAAAGTCTCCAGTTTAGAAACTCTAGGAACAAAGGGTTCTGTAACCAGTTCTGCTATGCCACATTACCAGTCATTGCTCTTCCACGCTTATATTACAGGACCATTATTTAGGCAGTTGAGATGAGATTTTGGAGTGATGACCATAAGCTCATCTCTGCTCCAGCTGAAAGGAAAACGAGATGTGCACAGGTTAGATGTGCTGAGATGCTCCTCAGCTGGTGGAGCAGCCCCTTGGAAGAGTCAGCAATCCTTTGCTGTTATCTACTTCGCAAAGTAACACAGTTGAAAGATAACTCTCGTGGATTATCTGCAATGACAAATCTGGTTTCAATTTACTTAAATCTGGTTTCAATTTACTTAAATAACTATGTGGTAGTTCAGTGTGTACATTTTCTGGGAGAATATCACTATATAAATGCAATTCCCACTCAGTGTTTTTATTGCTACAATATATGAACGAGTTTCATGTAATTGCTGAAGATGATGAACAAGGAATAATGGGGCTGTTATCCCCAGACAGCTTAATTAGGGAGTTCAGAGGGGGATCCAGCATACTCTATACTACATACTTGGTGACATATCCTAATATTTGAGGAGTTACTTTTTTTCTCAGTGAGCACCATACAATGCTAGTCTACCTGACTGGTCTTCCTAGCAGAGGAGGTCTCTTTAGTTTTTAATTCAAGTATGTCAGTCAGTTATTTAGCTGTACTGTGTGTGTAGATACATTAGACAAACAATGGTAATTCTTAAAATACAGCTTCACTCCATTTTCCTTTTACCTGTTTCAAACCTAGGTGGTTCCATGGTTCTCTCTGGCATCAGCTGTTTTTTCCTGTGGTTTGGGACCAGTGAATCCATGATGATAGGTATGCTGTGCCTCTACAATGGCCTCACCATCTCAGCATGGAACTCTCTAGATGTTATTACTGTGGAGCTGTATCCTACTGACAGAAGGTATGTGCACATACACCTCCCCTAACTTTACTGACACTATGTATCAGCAGAAATGGTAATTAGAAATGGTTACATATGAGCTTTATAGAGGTATGTGGTATTTTGAGTGGGCAGAATTAATAGTTTGGCTTATGAAGGGGAAAAAGATGTTTTTGAGCTATTTGGTATGTAGTTTGCATCAAACATCATCTAATGAGGAAAACACCACAAATGTAGCTTCATATGAAAAAAGAAGGTCTAACTGTTAGTCTCATTTGAAACACAGCTAATGACTAGTATTTCTGAAAACAATAATGGAATATTTTTGGGTTTCCCCTAGTGCAGTTGGCTATAAAGACAGTTGTTGGTCTGAAACAGCAATATAGCTGCATTAGTCTATTGGCTGTGAAACGGTGGGATTGATAATAAAAATCACTGTCTGGAGCTGAACATCATCTTCTGGATGAGACTGTGGGCTTGAATCATGCTGAGCTGTTAATCAGTCTGCTACAAATTTGTATGCAGGGTCACTAGGAGTGTACATACTCAGCATTAAGATGATACAAAAATGTCTCAGGCACTGCTCCTCACTTTTCAGAGCTCTTACCAGAAAGCTCAGGGCAGTTCTCATGTCCTGCAAGCATTGCTTCTAGATTACATGGTTTGGGGTGTTTTTTTCTTAGAAACAGGTACATTTTACTGCTGGTTTTATGTCACTTAATGGAATAAAGGAAGAACAGTTGGGTCATATGCTATTGTATGTCAAGTATAAAACCACAAAAGCCACATTTTCTTGGAAAGACTGGGATGTTTCTCCTTCCTTTCCTCCAAAAACAAATTTTATGTAAAATTGCCCAGGCTTCTGCCAAGGGACAATGCGCTCTCTCCTGTCACAGTCCTATTCATTACGTCATTCACTAGAAGTTTTGAATATGGTGATAAATATTTCCAGTTTATAAATGCATGATGCCTTGTTTTCGTTTTATTTGCATTATGAAAGTATATGCTTCTTCACACAAGACATTGATGTCCACTGTTGCGAGTGTATCAAATAACCATACTAGGCTACTTACGAACCCAAAGAACTAAGATTTAATAGTAAGAGCTAGTGTTTATATTATACCTCAGAAAATTGCTGTTTTGGCAAGAATTATTCCATCATCCAAACTCTATGATATAATTCTAATAAATACCATATAGAAATAGCTGTCTTTTTTGTATTCCTGAGTGTAGCAACCACAAATGTTTTCTTAAAATGAAGTGAAGAAAAAAATAACTGGAAAAGCCATTGATGTTAATGGAAGCAAAACCACTAGAAATTATAAAAATAATGTAACTGATATGTATTCCAGAGCATCTGTATTTGTAGATAATAGTTGTTTTAAATAGTTTTTGCTAGCTTTGGGATTGCAGCAAATTCTTCCCATTTTTATTTTTTTAAAAAGCTTATGTGTGCAATAATAGTTGTCTGGAATTCCACCTCAGAAATTTACTTGCAGCTGAGTTCTTGGGATTTTTTGCAACAACTTAGATAGAAAACTTATCCTTTTGTACTATCACTATAAAAAGGCTGATAAGCCAAATGTACCTGTGCCAGGAAAGACACTGCTCACACATCCTGTAGATGAGATTTTTTTTTCAGGACTTCTAAAAGTGATAGAACTGTCACGGTCAGTTTTTGCCAGCTGGTTATAAGAAAATTGTCGTTTCTAAAAGTCACTTCCTAGACATGTTTTTTTTAGACCGGGGCAAAGCTTATTCATGTTTCATAGAACTATTTGAAAATTAATACCTGCAGGGACTCAAATAACTCGCTTCCCAGAATCTTTTCTCTGATTTTTTTTTTATCCAGACTAACTACAGTTTAACAGCCACTACTGTGCACCTTTGATGGTCCTGTCTTTCCTTCTAGTAGTCTTCTAATCTCTATGGCCTGGCATGAATTGCCACAGTTAGCTGGGAATTTACAGCTTCTGCGAGTTGGTGTAGGGCTGAACAGCCTTTCGAGGCATATGTGGTACAACAAGCTGCATGATCTGCTTTTGCATATGAGGTCCTTCATACTTACAATGATGCTCTCTTTCATTGGAAAGCTGCATCTAGAGAGAATCTGGTCCTGAACCTGGCTTTCAGTTTCCCCTCAAAAGACAATCTAGGCACAACAACGTTGCTCACTCTGTCACCATTTTACTATTCTAATATATACATTTTCTTACACCCAGCCAGTGAAATGACCACAAATGAGCAGCAAAGTGCAGCTGGAGGTTGGAGTGGAAGCAAAGTGTGTGAAGAAGGCTAGTTCATGCTACCATGCACAAGAGACCAAGCTGGACAGCCCCTCCTTTTCCTCCTGCACAACTCCTCTTGGAGACTAGCCAGTTGCCAAACCACTGGGACTTTGCCAGTATTGTGCAGTGTAACACAAAAGGTGTTTCATAAATTGTACTCCAGGGTATTTAGGGATCATACTGTTTTTTTGCCAGGTAGGGGTGTGGTGAGCAATTTGGAAATGTGCAATGTGTATGATACATGGCACACATTTCAGTTTCCTCTTCATCAGCTGCCTGCAAGGCAGAGTTAAGGTTGCTTCAAAATCTGAACAGATTTGGACTCTTTATGCATTCACAGTCATCTAACTATTCACATTTTAATTTAGTAGTGTCTGGATTTGAGGTAATTAAGTAGTTTGTCCTGTATTTTTGATGAGCACTTTCAAATTTTGTGCTATTTTAGTGCAGCTTTTGCCTGCTTGTTCTTTATAGTGTCTCAGTTGATTTGCACAACTGCTAGAATAAGAGATGTTCTAGGCTATATAGATTTCAGTTGGTAGTCAGGTAGATAATGAAGTTCTGTTAAAAGGTGAAGATATTTTACTAATGCTAGTCATAGGTAGGTTTCTGTCACACATGGTGGTGACAAATACTAATTTGATAGTTTTTTTAATATACAAATTTTAAAGGACAGGCATGATGACTAGCTATAAACTAGATTATTTCCAATAAGGAAGTAAATTAACCCAGCTCCACAATGTAAAGAAATTGTTTTAACTCATCTTTTCTCTCATCTTTTCTCTTTTGCCTTTTCTTCTTAATGTGCTGCTCTGGACTAGTCAGCACATTCTGAGAAGCCTTTGATCGACTCTTGAAGGCCAAACCAATCTATTCCATAGCTCTGCTCTCAAGAAGTGTTGTTAAATGTCTTTCAAACATTTTTGAGTGCTCCAGAGTGCTTTCCTACTCTTTCATAAACTTTCCATATTTTTCAAACACTGCTTTGAAAAGAGGTGATATATGTAGCAACTGAGGCATAGAGGAAAAATGTATTGTTAAAAATCACTTTATCATTGTCCATTAGGAAAGGAAACCTGTGGATTGGCACATGTGGTACCAACTACCCCAGTCACCAAGCATTTTTGGTGAAGGAGTGGCTGGAAATGTAACTTTCACTGCTCAGCACTTCAGCATCACCTGAAGCTGCTCAGCTGAACATCCAGAAAATGTGAAATGCATACTTTATGACCATTTAGTTAGTTTTATGTGACTTGCTCACATCATGTAGGAATTTTGTGGCGGGGGTAGTGATTGCATACTTTCTCATGATAGCACTCAACTACCTTAACCATGAGACTGCTTTCTCATCTGCAGTCCCCAACCTTATTCACAGTACACCTTCCAACTTCTGCAGCAGATGAAGGAAACCAAGTTTGTGTTTTACCTTCTTTGTTCTCTGCATTGGCAGAATGATGCGGGAAAAAAATACTCTGTGATGAGGTAATTATGGCTTGTGTTGCAATGTGTGCCCAAGGGGCTTGCAATAACATTGCAGTTTCCTAGCTCTGCCTGTAATATAAGTAAGAATGGAAGAGAGTTAAAATTCTCGGAAGAAGTAACATATAGAAGGGGTTTATGACTTTAAAATACAATCATTAGTTTTCCATTTATCCATAAGTGATAAATATCTTCTTGTGAACTAACTTGGGAAGCACAAACTTCTTAAGCCAAAATTTTGTCAAGCAGTAGATACAACTAACAAGCCAAACCTAAACAGCAAGTGAAATAGGAATAGGTCAACTCCCACGAAGTAAATCAAGGTCAGATTGTATCAGATAACCAACAATTCATCAGTTTTACTACAGCTGCCAGACATCTGGGTTTGAATCTTGGCCAGGAATATTTAAAATCCAGGTTTTGCTATAAAATGAAGTCATCTTGTTTTGCCTTTTCTTAATACCTCTGAAACAAGCTCAGAAGGGTTTGGTCATAATTAAGAAATAAGTCACCTATCTTCAGTCCGTTATATTTCTTTTTTTCTTCTTCTTGAGCTCCGAGAATCTATTCCCAGAGTAATAAACATTATTCATAGGCCATTTAACACCAACTTTTATTTGTTGTGGCTGTTAGAAGAGGTGTTTTTGAGCTATAACAACAGACTTACAGTAGACCTCCTGACAGCTATTTTCTACTGCCATCCTGTGGATGTGGTTCAACTGCATTTTGTTGAAGTTTCATGTTAATTTTTTTAAGGCATGACATGTCAAACCTATGCCATGCCTTGGGCAGTAGTCCAAGGCAGGGAAACAAATTCCACAGTTTTACTTGCACACTGAGTGCTATAATTCAACCAGCTATGATATGCATCTTTATACTTTTTTTTTTTAAAAAAAAGAACTTAAAATGTCTGGACAGTAGAAAATTGTCCATAGCATATTCAGAAATTGTTGTAACAGTCTTTGCATAGTATCAACACCCACAAAATTACATTCAGAGGTTTTTATAATTTGCTCTAATGGCTTTAATGACATTCTCTAGCTGGACAGGGGAATCTTGCTACCATACTCCTTTGACCAGTAATAAGGATTGTTCATGGAGTCAAAATTACTTTTTTGTGCCAGTGTTTCACCTAGTAACTGATCAACATAACAGAAATTTGTGTATATAGTAATGGCCTTATGCTTTTGGATTTTTTCATTTATACGTGTGTGTGACACATCAGATATCTTTGATCATTTGCAGACTTTCTGTACACTCTAGCACTTTCATGAAACACTGTAGGAGAGACTGAACTAATGCTGCAACAGAAGACTATGCTTATACATATATGTGAATTGCAGCTTATTTATTGCCCAGCTATTTTT